TCGGGGAGGGGGACGTGGGGGGGATGAGGGCATCCCGGCACGAGAGTTTGGCGGTTGTGGGGAGGGGGCTGGGCCCTTTTAGGTGCTGTGAGAGGGTGCTAAAAATGCTACTGCAGTCCTCTTGAAAGGGGGAGTCGGTTTTCAACAATCCACTTTTCTTTTCACCCCGAAAGGGTGGCGAGGTCGTGGATATTTTCGTCCCGGAGGGGGTTTTCGTCTCACTAAAACTCATCTCATAGCATAAATTTTGCGAAGTGGAGGCCGCGTCATCGTCCAGGTGAGGAACGTCCATCGGGCTGAGGGAGGCCGTATCGAAGGCTTTGTAGGTCGAAAGAAACTGAAATTTCTTTTTTTTGACCGCATTTACCGCCGCCTGTCGTCTTTCGGCGAAGGCGCCGTAGTTTTGCAGGGATTCAACGGACGACATGGTGGATCCCTGGGTGAGAAAACTATGCTCAGTCGTCTCCCGCACTGCATTCATCGAGGGGTTTTCATTTTCCGCATGGTTGGGGGTGATTGCCGATTGCGGTTCCGACCCATCGACATTATTCAATCCCGATGAATGCCGCGCATTTGATCTGGAGGATTCGATGGTTTTCAAACTCTCCGTTTCGATATTCGTCGCTTTTGAGCAGGAGGAAGGGGAGGAAGTCTGCTCAAAAGAGTCATCGTAATCGTCCATGCAGACGGCAGAAAGCTGAGGACTAAAGTGGATAATAAGATCGCCAGAGGATCAGAGGGGGGGGGGGTGGTCTGAATAGCGTGTGGCTGCCTTGAACTCACCCTCAGGTTTAATCAACACGTAATAGATTGTTCGCCTTCACCACGAATATCAGGAAGGGTAAAATGGACTTGTGCGTGTAAATAATAATAATAAAAAGGGATTGAGAAAAAAGTGGTTAAGCAAAAAAGCATACCCCAAAAAATCATTGCTTTAAAAGTGCTTTAATATAAGTTCCCCTTCCCCTTTTTTCATTGTTCTTTGTGGATGTAAGTGGATTTGAATTGCAATTGACGCTTTGACCCTTTTGAGGTGTTTTTTCTTTTCACAGGCGTCAATACGCAATTCACTTATCGAGACTCTTGATGAGACTCACATGTCATCACGAGGAGAGGGTTTAGCAAACCGTCTTTATTCCAGACAGTCCCTTCCATAATTTGTATAGTTAACTAAAGAAGTTAGCAATGAAAAGGACGGAAAAAAAAATTAATAATCATTACTTTATCAAGCGAACATGAGTGGATAGTTCGAGGATCTTATTCAGAAAGGTATCAATCACGGTCGTGATGGTCGACCCTTGGCTAGATGCCTTGAGAAGATGCGAAACCCAAAAGTACGGGGGAGGCGGGGAGAGCAAGACCATCCCGCGCGTTTCATCCTCCACGTACACGTTGAGGGTCTCCACAAGTTGGGTACCATAAACCTCGCAAAAGGCAATCCAATACTGCGCGGAGCGTTGTTGGAGGACGGCCTCACTTTCCAACACCTCGGCCGTTTTTCCCTCCCTCGCCCCCTCCAACCCGTCCGGGGACTCCTTTGCGCCATGCGTGGGGGAATCCGGGAAGCTGCTGCGATCGGAGGAATAACACGACCCAAAGGACGAGGAGGAGGCCCGCGTTCGCGTCTCCACGCTCGTCCCGTCCGATTCCGAGGCCGCTTTCGGACGCTTTCGCGAGGGCCACGCAGTCTCCTCGCTCGTTGGCCGGCTTCGCGAAAGCCCAAAGGGGGCGGGAGGGGGGGAATGGGTGAGGCTCGAAGCGGAATCCAACGAGTGAACCCAAGAGTCCAAGGATGGGGATCGCGATAGTGTCGAGCCCGACGGCGCGCCCGGCGCCGTCGGGGGGTTCGGGACCTCCCGGCAGTGCGCCAACAACTTCTCCGCGTAAAGCATCTTCACGAGGCCATCGCAGGCAAAGCGTAGAAGCCCCCGGCGCCCTCGCCACTCCGTCCCGTCGTTTGTGAGCAATTCCGAGGCGAAGTTCAGCCCCTCCACCCTCGCCGCGTGGTAGAGCGCGAGGACCCAGCCCATCAACGGCATCGACGTCATCCCGGCCAGCGCGCTTGGCTGGACGAGGGCTTTAAAGGCCTCCGACAGGGCCGCGCGGAGGTGCTTTCGCAGGCTTTTCCCCCACACCATGCGGGCCCCGCACCTCAAAAGACGCCCGAGCTGCTCCCGGTCCGCCCCCGCCCCGCTTTGCAGGGCGAGCAGTTGAAGGCAGGTGTCGGGGAA